ATGTGATTGTGTGTGTGTGTGGGGTGGGGGTGGGGGTGGGAGGGTGTCTGGGTGTGGGTGTGGGTGTGTGTGTGATTGTGTGTGTGTGTGAGGGGGGGGTGGGTATGTGTGTGTGTGTGTGTGTGTGTGTGTGTGTGTGTGGGTTTGTGGATGCGTGAGAACTCACCATCTCCTCGTCGCTGGCAAACGGCTGGGGCTGTTCCTCTCCAGACATGATACTGCCTCCGCGAAGATTCCGAGATCTGGGGAAAGAGAAGGGGGAAAACGGACCTGACCAAAATTGTTGCGGTTACGAGGTCAGAGGGCTTGGAAATGTTATTTAGAATTAATACCTACAGAACGATAGTGACGCAGTCAGTTTAAAAATTGAGGTTCCGTGCGGGGATGTCCGTCCGCACCAAAACTATTTTCGCCCGTGCTGTAGCCCGTCCAACGAAAAGACACGCTTTTTTTAACGGATGACTTGGGACAGATGACATCGATTGTTATCGAGCTACCGTTCCCGGTCTTGTTCCATTTACATCAATATCCGTAAGAAAATAGTTCCGCCTGACTCATATCGAGCAATATTTTATTTTTGCCTCTCAGGAAAAGTGCCCTTCCACACCAATCTGTAATGTTGAAATGAGTATTGCTCGAAAAGACAAAACGGGGTTGTCACGCGTTTAGAGGGCACTCTTTGGGAGAATTAGGGGTCCCGGCCTTATTCCATAGAAATAACACTCGCAATCGGAAACACAAACGGAAGCCGATTAAAAAAGCTGGCTTGAGTTGCCAGGGTCACAATGCCACCCGATGAAGAAAAAAATCAGGATGAAAATATTCTAAATTCGAACGACAAAAAAATACCGAAGACAGCTTTTTTACCCTACTTCCGTTTTTGTTTCCGACTACAAACTCTTAGTGTTATTTCTTTGGAGTTAAGCCGGGACCACTCCTCTCGAAGAATGCCGTTTAGAGAAACGAGGCTAAAAGTAAACGGGATCGAAAGTTATTCGCCAAAAAATCTAGGCCTATGTTTTTGCGTCGGACGAGCGCAGAAAATTTCCCAAACTGAAATGACGGTTCGAGGTCTCCACTTTTTAATTCAAGAATCACTCGCGTTTCTTACTCATGGAATACTGACTTCAAAGTGAACCATTAAAGAGATACATTTATAAATTACAATTTTATTGATCCCAGAGGGGCAGTTTGGTTAACGGTGTCAAACACCGACATTTGCTTAACATTACTGTTGAGTCTAAACTCACTAGATCTGGACCCACTCACTTACTTAGCCATCCGAACCCCCATCTTTTAATTAGTTAAAACCGTTCGGCTCACCGTGCGACATTTCCAATCAACCACTAAACAACCCTAGATCTAGCTGTACAAAGCCAAGTCCTAGCATTAAGCATTGCCATTACTGGCCTTTGTAGAGCTAAATCTAAGTTTGTTTGAAGTTTGATAACTCATTTGTTAGTGAATGCCATTAGTCGGTAATAATATAATAATAGGATTCTCACTCGGTTGACTAAGCCTTTGGCTCACCGAGTGATATTTCCAATCAAACACTTTTCTAAACAGCCCTAGATTTAGCTCTACAAAGTGCCCAGCTCAGATAGATCTAGCATTGCTATTAGATCTTGATCTAGAATCTAGATCTAGATCTAGTCATTACTTAGTGAAGCTTTTGTTTTAGGAAGAGGCTAGCCGTACTTATTCTTAATATGATGGCTAGACTGACCTATTTACAAAAAATAGGCCTACTGAATTGTAAATATACATTTTTAGTGTGCAGTACCTAAAGTATTTGTATTTGAGACGAAACCAGGTGCCTTAATGACAGTGCATGTATTTTAAACCTCCTGTTTTCTAATGTTAATAGGGCCTAAGATAAGTACGGCTAGACTGGCAGTCTAGCCGTACTTAAGTACGGGTAGACATCCAGGCTAGCCGTACTTAAGGACGGCTAGACTGTCAGGCTAGCCGTACTTAATATTGATGGCTGAATTGTAAATGAAATTTTTAGTTTGCAATGCCTAAAGTATTTGTATTTCAGACAAAACCAAAAGGTGCCTTACTGACTTGCATGTATTTGAACCTGAATAATTACTATATCTAGATCTAGATCTAATGAGACCTGTGTACTTAACAGGCTTGAGTCGATTGGGCCAAACCTAGATCTAAGTACGGATAGACTGGCAGTCTAGCCGTACTTAAGTACGGCTAGCCACTTCGTTTGTTTTATTAAATAGAAAGTGGCTATTAGATTCTCACCCGCCCGGAAGTTCTCGCAAGATCAACTCCTCCCCTCTTCTCTCTCTCTCCGTCTCTTTCTGAATACTGTCTATCGGTGTGGACGATCAAATTGACCAAAACAAAGTTAAAAAATGATGTTAAAACACAAAAGTAAATAAATTTGGTTGTCTACAAAGATGCTATGGCTATTTAACTTTTCGAATCGAGCCGAACTACGCGGGTCGCCACTTTCTCTCTCTCTCTCCACTGCCCACAGACAAAATTGTACGCTTTTAGTAGGCTACAATTGTAATGGAACGTTTGTTCACGGCACAGAATTCTACAATTTTTCTGTTATCACAGTGTAGAATTCTGTGGTTTAGGGTGAACGCGCACCGGGTGAGAATAGCCACAAGACTCGCCTGCACTATTCTCACTCCGGGTGAGAATAGAGGTGGCCTATTAAATATTAGTTATAAATTAGTATTAGAATCTTCTAGATCTAGATAATCTAGATCTAGAAAACTAGATCTAGATCTAGTATTAGTATTAGGTATTAAGGTTAGGCTCACCGTGTGCTATTCCCATTATACACAAAACCCTAGATTTAGCTCTACAAAGACCAGTCCTACCCCTGTACACTGCATGCAGTGCCAGTGGTCATAAGTTAGAATCACTACAGACTACATTTATTAATACTAAGTTAGGGACTAAGAGCTAAGTACTAAGAAGGAGAAGCAAGCCTAGCTGACTAGCTGTGAGTCTTGTTTGGTTCTACACGATACAACATCTAGAATCTAGATCTAGATCTAGATCTATACTAGCCTATGCAGTTCCAGTGGACATTATGATTAGTTAGTTATAATAAGTTAGGGACTAAGAAGAAGTAAGAAGGAGGGGCAAGCCTAGGCCTAGGTGTGGATTCTAGATCTAGATCTAGGTCTAGATCTGGTCTCTCTCCCTCGTGAGACTCTGTGTGAGTCTTGTTTGGTTC